TATTAAAACTGCTCGCGCACAAGTTTCACATGAAAGCCGTGAAAACGGGTCAATTGATCTATCGCCGAGATAATGAAAATGTAATTGCCATGATAAGACTTGGAGAGGATTCGAGGAAGCAACGTTCATCCGAGGAAGTATAAAATTTTAAAATTAACGCGCAGCGCGTTTATTTAGCAAGAAGACTCTGCGTACTCATTGAATTTAACGAAGCGACGTAAAAATAATATCTACTGGTGATGCTATTAGAACATAGAAAAAATTGTCTATTTTATTTATTGCTAGTGTAAAATGAAAGCAATCAGAGTAAAGATAGAGACGATACATGTATCTATATATCAGAAAGAACGGAATTGCTGAAATACCTGAAAATTTAATTGAATACAGATCTGAAAAAATAATTTTATCAGACTGTCGAAATAATTGTGTAGGACGCACAAGCTGGTTGCTAAACTAAAAAATTTTTTGCAATGTCATGCTTCCAATTTCCTTACATAATTATTTCGATGGTTCAACAAAGTTCTCATCAAGTCGCGCGCTATTTCTGCTTCGTTTTAAGCGCATAATAGGCAGGAAGTGCGAAAACAGATCTATTGTTAGAATGATTAATTGACTGAAGAAATGGGAACTTTTAAAGTTCCCTTTGACTTTCAACTACTTTTCTCTCGTTTTTTAAGCATCCTTTTTTTTTCTTTTTAAAAGTTGCCGCGATTTTATTAAAACTAAAATTTCGAAAAAAGGTCATTAATTTTTATTTATGTCAATTATTATATACTTTCAGATCTGTGTCTAATTAGCTCTTCGGGTACTTCAGCAAATCCGTTTTTTTTTTCCGTGTAGGATTGTCGAGAAAGCAATCAAACCACGCGATGGAAGTGATTCTCAAACGAACGCTTCTGAACGCGTATTAAATCGTTGGAATTTCCTGACCGGGCAGATGTTTCGCTTCGTATTCGTTTCGGTTGTTAAATGACAATGGCGTTATATCTCTTTGCGCCTTCGGAATAATTAATCTGACGTAGGACGGAGTAGACGTTAGCGGCGATCGATCAGCACGTTTCGCTGCACTATAACGAAAATACGACGTAAGAGGCGAAAATGGATTTTATCGATGACGAGCGACACGTACCGTGGATAATTGTATTTTGATATCCGGTCGTATACGTGCCCGCGCCGGCGTGGCGCGCCGCGTATTTTGCCGCGGGCCCACGTTTCCCGTTTCTCCTTCGCGGCCACAAAGGGGACGAACAAGAAGGAGCCCCGGAGATCGGCGACGACGACCAGCGCGGTCCGCGTGTGTCGCAATCCGCAAACAAAAGCGGCGGGGCCACGTGTTTTCCCGTCGGAGAAGATTTCCCAATCATCCATCGGCGTTCCGCCTCCGGAATGTTTAACGATTGAACCCTGGCCGGATTTGATCGTCCGACCGATTGAAAAAGAAAAGAGAGAAAGAAAGAGAGAGAGAGAGAGACGTGTAAAATTGATTGACGATTCAATTATGTTGAATCGCTGAAAATTCGGATACTCGCGCGTCGTTTTGCGAGCTCGAGAAAAGAGGGAAATATATTTGGTGCCTTAAAAAGGAAACGAAAGATCCTCGTAAGCTTTCGTCGCCTCATTTGTGTAAACGGCCGATCCGGTCAGGATCAGGAGACTTTTACGACGAGATATAACAGATTGTCTCCAATAATTCGTGAATTTATGATGACCTTTAAGCCTGCCATAGATAATTCCGCTTGAAATCGTAATAAATCGTTGAGATACGAAATTTAAGAGGTCTGAACGGTGTGTTAATAAAATGCAAACCTCTCATATCAGTCTTGTCGCATATAATTAATACGTAAAGTGTAAGATTTATTTCTCAAATTTTTTTTATTCTGTCGCATCTATACTTTTGCGTCTCTCCCGTTCTCGAAATTGCGGTGACTAAACGGAGCTCTCTCTTTCTCCTTCTTTCTTTCTTCCTCTCTCTCTCTCTCTCTCTCTCTCTCTCTCTCTCTCTCTGTTCTAAAAAGCCGCAAGTATAGCGTTCGTATGTAGCACACCGCAAGATAAGGTGTTTACACCGTCGCGAATTTCCTTTCGGTTTCGCGTTTATGGAAGTTCGACCGATTTTTATCCGACGTTGTCGTCGTGGGTCTCGCGCGCCATCCGCATAAACGGGTTTCCGCAGGAAGTCTATCTCCAATTAAAGTATCTACGTATCCGCTATACGCGCGGCTTTCGAAGGGGGACACACACAGGTCGCTCGTATATTGTGAACCCGGTATTAAATCCGGCGGCTAGGCGATAAGCGGCGGCCGGTGGTACCCGCCGGTACACGCCGGTATATCGGCTCGTCCGGAGCTCTTCTCTTAACGAGACGTCAAATAGAAAGACGCGCGCGGTCGCGCCGCGCTTTCTCCGTCCGCGCGCGCGTATACGTGTGTCATAACGCGCCGCGCACGGAGATCTCTGATGCAGCTTTTCCATTCGCGCCGCCGCCTGTCAATTCGTCCCGCGCGATTCCGCGTCGCGTCCCGGGATCCGCTTGTGTGTATCCGAGAGATTTAAATCGTTCATTATGGCCCGTATTCAAAACGCGCTTGTTTAGCGCGATATTTAGTTTACGCATATATATATATATATAGCTTACGTTATGTTATATTATATGGAAATTTTAGACTTGTTAGCGCGCTAACAAGGTGTCTTATAATAATGTCGATAGGACGTTATTGAAACGTCATTTGACGTCATCTTGTTACTTGGGTCGCTTATAAGCGTTCTGAATGCGAGAGTCTATTGTATGCACATCTTCGAGGATCATCCGAAAAGAGATTCATAAAGAAAGTAAATAAAAAATAATTTGAGCGGCTGAACGGCCGAGCCTCGGACGAGTCTCTCTCTAAATCTCTCCGAAGATGAGGGGGGGGGGGGCGAAAACTATATATTGCTGGTTTCCGCCGAGGTTTTTACTGCCGTCACGATCCCGAATGCGACGCGCCCGAAAAAGAGTTCCTCGGCCTGAAAAAGATCACGCCTCGGATAATCGAGCGTGCCTTTCGAGCGGCGCGGCTCGCCGCGGCTTCCGTTCGCCCGAATCGACAATGAGTCACATATATGTAAATTCTACGAAGCTGCGGCCTCGCGCATTATATCGCGCCGCGCCGATGCAGCTTTTAACGCGGCTAAATTCGCGCGCGGCGCGAAATACATAAAGGGGATCGGCGACACGGCCGTGGCGCCGATGACACACGCCGGGCCGCCTTCAAGGCCGGAATATTTTTCTTCGCCGACGACCCCGCGCAGTCATTTTCCTTGCCGCTGTATTTATGCAGCGTTCGCCTCGTTCTTTGCCCCCTCGTGCTTTCTATTTTTGCCGATAATGACCGTGATCATGACTAATGTCTGAAGGGAGCTTTACGGTTAATATATATATGTTTACTGAGAATTTGAACGCGCGTCTGAGGCTCGATTTAAAAATTCTTACATTATTCTTCGCCCGATATCTTCGTCATTCTCTAGTGCTCCCCCTCCACCCCTTCGAAACTTATCTTCTCTTTGACTTGTAATGTATGTATGTATGTCATCAACTAAAAGGTTGCAACACTTTTTTTTTAAATCATTTTCGGAACACAGTCTGCTCACCGAGCGATTGATTCCTACACCAATAAATCTAATCAATTACGTTTAACCGCCCCACGAGCAAAACTGCATTCCAAAACATCAAAATAAAAGATGTTGGGACCTTTGATGAGTGTACAGTCATGAACACATCGGTTGCGACACTTTCTTTTTTATAAGTTTCAAAACGCATTAATATTTTGCAAATGCGTACCACGATTGGTGTTATACTGTCTCTAGACTAAAGATAGTACATCGTGGTTCGCATTTGCAAAAATTAATTATCTATAAAATATATATTATCTATATTAAATATGTATATATTAGAAATCTATAAAAAAAACATGTCGCAACCGATGTGTTCACGACTGTATGTACAAGTAAAAAGACTTCTTTGGCGATGTGTATATATATAATAATACGTGTATATATATATACATATATATATATATATATATATGTATATATATATATTATATATCTCATGCTATATTAGACACGACTTTATAAATTTTTGTGTATTTTATATATAGTATAAATTTCAGTTGTATAATTAATATTATATATTATATTATACACATAAATATGCAATGTCTCGACAGAAATTTTGACATCGTATTTTTGATGTTTTACCGATCGAAAAGTGCACGTGTGTTTTAAGTGCATACATTTACGTGCGATCTCTAGAGCGCGCTGGTGCGGAGCAGCGCAGCCAACCGAATTTTCTGTCGAAGCTCAAAACCCTGTTGAAATTCTTGAGCTCTCGAACAGCTCGCTTCAATTTACTTCCTTCCGACCGACTGACCTTCGGCGTAGAATCTAAATTAATTCGCGTTCTCCTCTCGTCGAGATAAATAATTTTGACAATTCGAAAGATTGGACGCTTCGATTCTCCCTCTCGAAATTCTATCGCTATTTTTACCTCTCGCGCGCCGCAATCGCGATGACGTTTCCCCGGATCGAGAATTGTCGAGAATTCATCGATAGGAAAATCGAGAGACGTCAGACGCGCAGTTACACAAATACACACGCAATGGCGGACGCCGTGGTTGATGTCGTTGCTTACCGCATGTTTCGGTGATCCCGTTCGATCATGGATTGACATCCTCTCGCCCGCTCTCGTGATTCCAAGGATCGCTTCCAATTTCGGGCCAAGCGCGACCACGTGGCGTTGCGGAGGCGCCCGGGTAAGTCCCGCCGCGGGCGACAAACGCTCGGAAGGCGTGAGGAAGTAGGTTAGAGACATCCCTGATCCTCGGGTGACTTGACTCTGTTCCTCGGCACTTAAAACCAGTGACATGCTGGACTGCTCGTCGAAGGATCTCCAGCCTCGACGCACCTTTCCACATTGTCGCACACCCCGTCGTTAACTCGCCGAAGCTCGAGCCAGAAAGAAGAGGAAAAAAATGTCGAGCGACAACAAGGGTTCACGCGGCGGGGTGCCACCTCGTTGGCTCAACTGCCCGCGCAAGGCGATGAGGCTGATCCAGGGCAAGTTTCTCGCCTTCAAGACGCCCCTGTCCTCGGCCTACGACGGCGAGGTGCCCGAGAGCTGTCGCTTCACCGTCGACATGTTCTTCGCGAATCTGAAGAGCCAGAAGCTGAAGATGGGCCTGTGGATAGACCTGACCAACACGTCGAGGTTCTACGACAAGGACTGTATAGAGGATTACGACTGTAGATACGTGAAGCTGCAATGCCGCGGCCACGGCGAGACCCCGTCCGAGGAGCAGATCCGCGCCTTCGTGCAGCTCTGCAGCAACTTTATCGCCCACAATCCGCTGGAGATCATCGGCGTGCACTGCACGCACGGCTTCAACAGGACCGGCTTCCTCATCATCAGCTACCTGGTCGAGGTGGACGGTACCAGCGTCGACGCGGGCATCGCGGAGTTCGCCACCGCGAGGCCACCTGGAATTTACAAGGCCGATTACATAAAGGAACTGTACAAACGGTACGACGACGAGGCGGACGCCCCGCCGCCGCCCGCGAGACCGGCTTGGTGCCTCGAGTACGATGAGTCCGGCGTCGCGGACACGGACGAGGGACCGAGCACGGAGAGCGACAACTGTCAGGAGGAGAAGGGCAAGAGGAAGAGGCGCGAGAACGTTTTTAACAAGAATCCGGTGTTCATGGCCGGCGTACCTGGCGTCACTCCTGTCCTGGAGAAAAAGAGGCTGTTTGGTATCCAGAGGCGAGTCCAGGAGATCTGCGGGTGGAAGGACTCGGGATTCCCCGGCTCTCAGCCCGTATCCATGGATTGTGACAATATAATGCTGCTGCACACAAAGCCGTACAGGGTGTCCTGGAAAGCGGATGGCACAAGGTCAGCCGGGAATTTATTTGTGTCACTTTTTATATCACTATTCCATACATACATTGAATATCAAAAAAGCATTGTAACTCATCCGCTGTGTTTTTTTTTTGTTTAGGTACATGATGTTAGTACAAGGTGACGGGGAGGTGTTCTTTATAGACAGGGAAAACAGCGTCTTCGAAGTGAGCGGTTTGACATTTCCACATTTGCGAGAGAACCGATATTTGAGAGACACTCTGATGGACGGTGTAAGTCGTAATTGCACCAAACAGCTTTTGTAGAACCGCGAAGTTGAATAATGAGAAATTGTACCGTCTATGAAATCCTATGTAATTTTGCAGGAAATGGTGATCGACAAAGATAGGGACAAGAATATTCCTCGATACTTGGTGTACGACGTTATTATGTACGACGGGCAGGACGTTAGTAAATTACCGTTCGATCCCGACCGTTATTGCATTATCGAGAAGCAGATAATTGCCGGCAGGCTGAGAGCCATGCAGGAGAGACGGCTGATAAAGGAGCGAGAGCCGTTCTCGGTGCGACTCAAGTACTTCTGGGACGTGACGCAGAGCAAGAATCTGCTGGGCGAGAAGTTCGCCAAGCAGCTCTCGCACGAGCCGGACGGCCTGATATTTCAGCCCGCCAAGGAGAAGTACTGCACGGGGATATCCACGGAGGTGCTGAAATGGAAACCGTTGTCGCTGAACTCCGTGGACTTTAAGCTGAAGATCGTCACGGAGTCGGGCGTGGGGATTCTGCCGCGGAAGATCGGTCATCTTTACGTTGGCGGGCTGAAGACGCCGTACGGCATGATGAAGATCACCAAGCCTATAAGCGACCTGGACAACGCGATTGTCGAGTGTAAATTCGAGAACGGCCAGTGGGTCTTCATGCGTCAGCGGATAGACAAGTCGTTTCCCAATTCCGTCACGACCGCCGAGTCTGTATGCAAGAGCATCAACAAGCCGGTTACGAAAGAGCGGCTTTTGGATTATATCGAAAAGTACAGATTCGCGCGTGACGACGCGGACCTTATGCCACCACCAAATAAGCACAAAAAACCTTAGATATGTTTTATCATGTTATTATTATTATTAATCATAAATATATAACAATTTTTACGTATCAATAATTGTTCGACAAATGAAGACTTAGAACGCGATTTATATTTATTTAATTAGAATGCGAGCAGTTTAAAGCTCAACGTTCATTTAATTTTAGGCAGCTATATGATTATAGCTACGATCAATTTTTTTCTTAAAGGAATGTTAAATGTAATATGAAATTGTAATTTTGCAGGGAATGGATTGAACAAGAGCATGATATCTTGTCTACAGAATAAATTGTAAAGCATGTAAAAGAACAGAATTTTACGAGTTTACTTTATGAATTCGAGCGTCTAATTTTGTGATAAATATGTCGTTCTTAATCAGGATTGTTTTTCATCGGGTTATTTCAATGTTCCAACATACATTTGTATCATATTTTGAATTGAGATTATTAATTGTTGAATAAAAAGACTTTGTAATAACAATTTTATAATTATTTATCCCATCTCGTCGAATTAATATAGTAAAATTTCAATTATATAATTATTTAATTTTTTTACTCATCGATGCCTTTAAGATTAATATTATATTAATACATTTCTGCTGTTCAATATTTTCCCGTGACAATATTTGACAGTACAATTGAAAACAAAAATTCCTCATAAAAAAAGTAAAATTTGTTTACAGGCTTTTCTTTACCTCCGAGAAAAATAATTTTGAAAATTGAAAGCGTCGAAAGATATCGGCTTAGTTAAGATTATGTAATTAAGAATCCTTTTATGTGGTTCAAACTTAATTCTAATTACCTTGCATATTTTGCATTATTGCAGACCGGCAGTTAAGATTATGTAATTAAGAATCCTTTTATGTGGTTCAAATTAAGTTCTAATTACCTTGCACGTTTTGCATTATTGCAGATCGTACCGTGTTGTTGTGGTACACGAAGGACTTCACGTCGAAGGATCGCAAATCTCTGCGCGTCAACATAGAATTCGATCACGCGACTTTGATACGCTGGTCCCCGGACGGAAAGGCATTCATTATTCACAAAGCCGTGGCCAATACCATCGAGGTGTACAAGATCGCGAAGAAACCGGACGGTCACTTGGCCTCTGCGACCAAGGCACTGGAGTTTCCACGGGTAATTGCGATCTCGTCTCAACCTATTAAGATATTTTTTTCTTATTGTCTATATTTCTCTCGGAGAGATCTTTTAAAAATAATACGAATAATATAATTGTGTCATATGATTTTACTTTGTGCTCGATTTAATATTACTCACTCTGTTACTGTTATAAATCTACTTTATTTGTCTCGGTCCCTTCAATATTAATATTATAATATTAATACATTCTACTATTCAATATTTTCTCGTATTGATTTATGGAATCTACTTGTGCCTTATATATCAATTTTTTTTTTATTGCCGTAGCGTCACACCGAGGATGTCGTCGGAATGGATATCGCGTGCACCGGGAAGTACATCATCACGTGCAGTAAAGTGAACGATCTTATTATATGGGACTTGAAGGGACAGACGCTGGCGACAGTGGAGATGCATCTAGGGTCTACCTATCGGGCGCGCATATCACCTTGCGGCCGATTCGTCGCTGCCTCGGGTAAGGATGACGTTAAATAGACTTTTCGCTAGGCTACGAGAAAAGTATAATATAGAGACTCTCTAAACGAGATCAATCCAATTCGCAAGGCTTTACACCGGACGTGAACGTGTGGGAGGTGGTCTTCAGCAAGACCGGGGAGTTCAAGACGGTGGCGAAAGCGTTCGACCTCGCCGGGCACACGTCCGGGGTCCACGACTTCGGCTTCAGCGCCGACACCAGTCACATGGCTACCGTGTCCAAGGACGGGACGTATCGCTTCTACAATACAAAAAGTAGCGTAACAGTATCGCCGGCGAAATGTAGGATTTAAGCGTGAAAATGTGTGCAAATGTGATTTCTCACGCGTCCGTTTCTTTCCAGTCGAGTTCGAAAAGGGGGAGGATCCGCACGTTTTGATGACCGGCACCTGGAACACCACCGCGCCAGCGAGCCTCGTCCTGTCCCCGAACGCGGAGGTCCTCGTGATCGCCCATGGATCGTCTGTATCTTTCTACTCCACCATTACCGGTGCTCTGGATACCACCATAGAAGATATCTTCCTTGGTAAAAATTACACGGATAATTTCAAATAATAATACACGTTGATTCATGCGAAGTGGATTTAAAAAACTCGATGAGAATCCTATCAATATTTTTTTTTTTGCAGGGCCCATAACGTGCCTGGCATTCGACGCTATGGGGGAATATCTGCTGGCCGCGGGCGATAAGCACATCAAGATTTTCCGCAACGTCACCGGATACCGCACCGCAATAGAGTCTGCTAAACGCAAACTGGAGCAGAGGCAGACTCAGGCAACGAAGGAACGTCTGGAGAAGTTGATTCGCGACAACAAGGGATTGCTCGAGAGGATGGGAGAGAAATGTCCAGAATGACATAATTCTCTCTCCCTCTTATCGTTTCACGAGGAGATTAAAGATATAAAATTATTATCTCGGGGTCTAATGCTTTCTACATCATGTAAATATTAATACATGAATTTACCTATTTTCTGCAAATAAAAGATAATTTTCGTATGCATGAATCTCTGAAATGTCTGATTCTCAATGTCACCTACAGTGGAGTTTATATGTACCTTCAAATATATCTTCAAATTTGTGTAAAATTTGAAGATTTGCGTAGACGACATTGGGAATACAAACTGTTCTTTTAACTTTATCCTACTCACTCTATTTTCTTAATTCATGCGTATCTTAAAAAGAACTTTGCACGTATTCCACATAGTACGATTAAAATAAATACGACGAAATTACATTTCGAAAAAATTTTCTACGTATATAAATTATAATATAATTTTTCATATATTATGAATAAAAGATAGACGAAATAGAAAAATCTTTTCTGTACTTCTATCTCGAATTCCAGCGTATAAAGTGACAGTATTGAATTCGATTGCAAATTAATATTCGTTAGAGTTTAAATACGCAATTGTACGTTAAAAATTTCAAGAATCCGAATAAGTAAAAAGAATTTTTGATTTGTATTCGAGAGCGAATCGGTATACGTCATAAATTGTCACACACAGATACACGTCACTGCTTAAACAATTTTTATTATTACCGTTGTATTCTTGACTACCATGTGCCCAAGGAGATAATTACAGTTTTTTTTTTATAAGATTTGTATAACGTTGACATACACAGATTCAGAATTGTTCGCGCATTTTATGCTCTTTATTACTCTCGCATGATGCTACTTTTTACTCCCTTTTTTTTTTTGACAAGAATGTGGCTTTCTATTAACTACAAAAAATTTCTATATAAGAGATAAACTATGTACAAAATAGTATCCTTGGCATCGTGAGTTGCAAACTGCAAGTCTGGGAGATGGAACGGGCGATCACGCACGACCGCACACGTTCGAGAACACGTTTTTGTATAGTATAATTTTTGGGTCTGACATTTCGGTGGACGTACAATGCGTAACTTAAGAGATATCATGAATTTTTATCGTATTTATTACTAGCTTAGGCTACGGAAAGAAAACGCTGATCGACTCGAATTGCTTTGAAACTGTACACATATTTTTTCTTCATCTTGGTACGGAAGGAAATTATTTTTATTGCTGCATGATAATAAACGTTTCATTACTCTTTGGACAATTCTGTTATAAATTTTCATTCATAAACGTATTCCAAAAGAAGGATTTTTCAAGTACTACGTGCTGCGCTAACTATATTTATAATATCGATTAGCAGCGCGCGAAATAAGAGAGAATTCTGCAAAATTCAATAAAAACGCAATAATACCGGATATGCTTGAAACCAAATATTGATGTGTAACTGCTATTAGTATTACATTTATTGCATCAAATGATGTATCGTGTATTAGAGCAATTAAAAATTATCGATCCGTTTTGACTAAGAAACATATATAATTAAAAAAAAAAACTTGATGAATGATCTGATAACAAAATTTAATATCGTAATATAATTGATATTATATTAATTATAACTTATGTTTAAAATACACAAATCAGCTCCTATGCTCTTACAGATAGGTGAGTTTCATTTCAGATATTATTTTGCATACAACACAACGTGGACAAGTGATGGAACAACGATGAAAACGCAATACATCTCACGTTTTTGCGTTACTATTCACTTCCAATAAAAAGCCTTCACGTGCTTTTCATCTGAACCAAATAACTGTGATGTTAACATATTCTTGATAATAATGGTATGTCAATATCTGGCACTTGATGGCAGATTAATGGTATTTCATAAGCCCTTTTTAAATTCATCCATTTATCCTGAATGATGCGAAAAATTGTAACGTAAGATATTTTTTTTTTTACGGCGATCTCTCGTAAACTGTTATGCATGATTTCAAGTGCTCTTTTTTTTTATTACTATAAGGATGCCACCACATGTATCACTCGAGTGGAAAAAGTTACAAAATCGAATCCTGATCACTTCAGAGTTTTGGTGTCGGATAAATCTTTTGCTAGTTGCATCTGCTTTGCTTTGCTTTTCTTTTTTTTTCTTTTTTGTGTCACTAACAGCACACGTGCACGCACACGTGCGCGTGAAATAAGATTAGACTCCTTTTTACTCGTGTGTCGGTGCATATATCGTCTACTATAATAAATAGGTAATGCGATTTATTTCTTCTCCTTGTCCGCCTCGGCAATTTCTCGCTTGACAGAAGTTTTATTGTCAGATTTCTTGTCTACGTCGGCGGGTTCCTTCTTCACTTGGACCTTGTTGTCGCCCCACCTGGTGTCAGTTTTAAACTTGCTCTCCATCTCGGAGCCGTTTATCTCCCCGCTGACCTTTTCATCCTGAATCTCTACTATCTCTACTTTTCTCTCACGCTCCAACACTTTGGTCGCTAAATGGTACATGTTCTTGATCGCAGCCAAATAACTATGGCAATCCGTCTGGAAGAAATGTAAAGATGATATTTTTTCGTCATTCTATCTGTCATTGTGTTTTTCTTACGAAATAAATATTCAGGGTTGCCACAAAAAAAAAGAATTTTGAAATTCCCTGACTTTTCCATGATTTCCAATTTCCAGACAACAGTGTAAAATTTTCTATGATCAGTATCAAATACATAATTCTAAATTTTAATGCTTAGAAGATACATACTACAAGAAAGGTAACTTATATTATTAGAAGCAACATGAATTTAGAAGTTTAATAACATAATATAATCCCAAATGCAAATTTAGGCCAACAAATTATAACATTGCTTTGACATTGATGTTATGCATCAAACTACAGAAAAAAAATTTCTTTGGTATAACTGAATTTTCCTTGGGAACCAGACAAAAACTCAGTGTTAAAAGCAGAAAGATTTCTGTAGAGATTTCTTTAATATCGCTAAATATTCAGAATATTTTTGATTGTGATAACAGAGAGAAATCTCGAACAAAATCGTAATTTTCGAAAATTTTTTCGATTTTCATACAAAATCATTTCATTCTGTTACTGTCTATTGTTCAATTTTGGAAAAGGGTTTTTTAAATCAGAAAAAGCAAAAATTACATACAAAAATTATTGAGTTTCGTCGGTGAAACAAATCATCCCTTTAAGTAAATTATGAGCAAAGTTCAAAATTCCAAGTTTTTACATTTTTCCCTGACTTTTCCAGGTTTTCCCGGTTTTCCAAGTCTGTGACACAACCCTGAATATTGCAAATTGCGACGAAAAAGAGGCCTTATTATACTCACAGAGGTTTTCTTGAGCTTTTCGTCCGAACTCCGTAATTTATCTTTGTACATTTTCAAGTCTTCCGAAAGGCCCTTTATATTATTAGTTTGCTTCGCCGATTTCTCGTTGACTACACCTAGCTCGTGCTGCAACTCCATCATGCGATCCTCGGTATCTAAGCGCGCTTTCTCAGATCTTTTCAACTGACTGACAAGCTTTTCTACATCTAGTAAAGAGCCTTTATACATAACGATACCTTCCGGAATCGTTTCTTCGTTAGTCCTTTCTACAATACAATCCTCTCGTCGTGCTCTTTTCGAGGGCGGCCCGCTACCCACAAATACAGGTAACAGTTTCTTATTTCCTGTAAACATAAATGCATATAGCAATAATTAAACTTGATCGTGTTGGATGGATGTTTGCCGTATTAAGAAAAAATGTGAGAAGAGATGCATTACCAAGCGCAAGCGAACGTAATATAACGTCCTCCTCGTTATCCGCTTTGGCCGATTCGCCTTTGTCGCTCTCTTTGTCGTCTTTCTTCTCGTCCTTTAAGTCGTCCTCCTTCGATTTGTCCGTTAATTTGCGATAGTGCAGAGAATCTCTCGTCACAACTTTTTGTACTAGTTTCCGTACTTGAGCTCTCGACAAATTCAATCCCAGGGTATAGATAAGTTCCTCGATATCCTTATCAAATATATATCCGCAATGCGTCTGATCGAAATATACAAAAGAGAGCAAAAGATAAGGATCGTGGGTGTATAATTTCGTCTTTCTCTTCTTTCCATCTTTATCCCTGTCCCTCCTACCGTCTTTCACAGAATCGTCATCCTGCATAAGTAATAATAACGTTTACATTACAAAATGTACTTATCTACATTATATGTTATATAAATGCTATTCATTTGCAAAATAATATTGCATATTTTTCGTCAGCAAAACGTAAAAAAAAAAATTGAAAATGTGAAACAAATATTTTCTTCCTTACATCTGATTCATCGTCTTCATCTTCTTCTTCATCATCATTTTTCTCCTTTTCTCTGTCTTTGTCATCCTTACATTTTGCATCTTTGTCGTCCTTCTTATCCTTGATTTCATCTCTTTTCTTATCGTCCCGTTTCTCATCCTTTTTACTAGATTTCTTCTCGTCTTCCTTTCTCTTGTCGTCTTTCTTGTCGTCTCTCTTATCATCTTTCTTATCTTTCTTCTTATCTTCGTCTTTTTCCTTAGTTTTCTCAGGGAGGCTGGATAATGCACGATAAATGCGAAAACCATAATCACGTATCAACATTTCGTTGAACAGCTCCGCAAAGAGAGATACTTCAAACGAATGTTCCTACATATTCAAAAAAAATTTACGTACAAATTGTTTTTTTTTTTAAATAAGTGAAAGAATAATTTCTAAAGTGTAAGATACCTTGGTATCCTCTGGTCTGTAGTCCAACAACACGCTCAAAGACATCACTGTACAGTCGAACTTCCCACTCTTGGCCATTCTAGACGGATGAACGATAATGTGCGATGAATCAGGCAGGGTGTATCTCTTTTCGAGTACAGTACGTTCGCGTTCGTAAAGTTTCCTCTTATCTTCATCATGCTGTAAACAAATGCAAATGAATATATATATTAAAGACCTGTTATATTCTGGTATTCTACCTGGTATATTCTCAAGAAACAATGTATTGGTGCATTTATTGCTTACATCTTTATCTCTGAATTTTTTATCGTCTTCTTCCTTTGACGGCGGCGAGACGTCTTCTTCGTTTTCATCCGCCTCGTCCTGCCGACCTTCCTCTTTGGCTTGCTCGGACTTGACGGCCTTCAGAAGTCTAGCTGACAACTGCGACTTCAAGCCTTTCGAGCTCAAATTGCGAGCTGCTAGTTCTTGACGTAACTCATTCACCTGTGATTGATTGAAACATTTGAATTTTAAGGCATCAGAGAATAAGAGATATACATAGAAAAAAAAGTTGAGTTTCCACATTTAAATACTAACGTTCATCGATTTTGGATCTAGCTCGGAATAATGCGTGGGGTCCTTCTTCTCGGGCATCGAATCGTCCTGGAAGAAGAGAGCGCACGTTAGTCAGCGAGAAGTAAAAAGCCCAGAGAGAAAACTACAAAACAGAAGCAGCCCCTATAACGAAACGAAACCACTCCCTCTTCATTCTTTCATCACTCTCTACTTTTTTTCAACACTCTCTCACATTGTAACGATATGCACATATCTTCATTCACGATGACCGTCAAGGTATGACTCAAGTAACTGCTAGAAATCTCATAGTGTCCTGGCTCTGGTGTCTGTGTGATCGGTAGGTTATGGATAATATCAATAATGTTGTAGTATAAAAAACGATGATTAAAATGAAAAACTTTTGAATGACTTTTCAATGTTGGTGAAGGTTTAACAGGAAAGGGAATGGCTCAGCTGCGCTCTTCTCCGAGCTAGGCTTGCTTGCTTCTCTTGTTAATGCAATGTGACTGCCATTGGCTAAGGGAGCGATACGTTACCCGTCGATCCTCATTTTTTGCGACATTTAAAAGTGTTTTGAGAGATCTTGTTAATTTAACACATATAACAATTAAAACAGCAATCTTAATACAATTATGTACAATACAAACTTTGTCTTATGAAAAGTTGTACAAATACAAACGACGCTTTAGTTTCGCGATATAAGTAAATGACTTATTCCATAAAATAAGAACATCTCATCTTACGGAAGAAGTCATAGACATTGTATTTCATTGAAAGACTAGAATCTAATCATCTACTATTAATAACAAATAAACTCGCATTTCGAAATAATTTTACTGTTGCTTATCGATGAAACATATCCCGTTAAACACACACCTAAATTATAATCTTTTTTTTTTTTAAACCGATGAGTGCGGTCTGTTGCATGAAAAAAAAAAAACGAAGGTGAGATACACAGTATCCGGGATAGATTAACTTACTAATAGGATCGATGGACAAGTATAGCCTATTGAAAATCCAGTTTAGTAATGGGGAGAAACGGTGGCACGAATATATATATAAATATATATATAAATATATAATAATGTAATAAAAAGTTATAAAAGTAATATGGGATGATGTTGGCAGTGCCTTTTGATCAGCGGCGGCAGCCTCATCAGTCTCATTGGCGGCATCCAAATCGTCGGGATTAGAGGCGGCACGCAGCAACTTTCGCTCCAGTTGTTTCTTATAGTTGAGTTGCAGCCCGTCCCATTCCAATCTGGTAGGTACACAGCTCCAAACATCTGGGAGAAATAGTATGACGGTTTCAACGCGAGAGGGTACCACTCGCCCGGACTTGTGGGTCGTTTCCGCGCGTCTGTAGTAGAGCTCCAGGAAGCGGTACCTGTGCCGCAAGGAAAAACAATACCCAAACGTCAACTCAGATTAATGCCGCTTAGCGTTGCCTTATATGCTAAGTGTTTCGCTTTGCTTGTTCGTAAAGCCCACGCACTGCATACAAAGCCACGTACAGCGTACAACGTAGAGAACCATTTCAGAGAGAGAAAGCACAACTCAGTGGGTCACAATCATATGATAAATAGAACAATAGTGATGATTTGTCTGCTCGCGACTGCTCGTGTATCGTCGTCGACCGGGGGAAGGGTGTGCTCGAAACCGGGATCCAGTGCAGCAATCTCCATCTCGGGTCGCTCGTGTTTAGAATAAATACATACCTCCCACTGCAGAGAAATCGAGCTACAATCTTAGCTTATCAGAAGTCAGAGAACTGATATTAGAAGTTACTCTCCGTCGAGATCCGTAGATAGTAACACCTATCGGGGTCATATATCTTATAAAACGTCACAGTGTGTTTCTATCCTGACTTTTTTTTTCGTTTCTCGAATAACTCGGTTTTTTTTTTACGTCGTGAGAGATAGCTCTAGAAGATGTAGTCCTAGACAATTGAGAAGAGGAAGGATGGAATTTATATAAAAAAAAATGTGGAGTTCCGTAATTGTGACCTTCGGTTTGTGAAAGTAGTAGTATCGACGGAAACACAGAATGTGCAATATTTAACGGGCAGAAAAATTCGGTGATATCACATTGCTCTTTGTAACGAGAATTCGGGGCTTTAAAAAAAAGCTGTCTATGAAAGTGCTCCAGAGATGTGTACATTCAACGAGAAAAAAAAAAAAAACAAAAAAAACGTATTTCTACGTGAAAAGACGTACCACTGTGTGCAACTGGACAAATCTATGCCGGTGAGCGCTTTACAGGTCCTCACGGCCGTCCTGATTAACACAGACGGATCCTTTTCAGGATTAGGACCGTCCAACGAGGGACTCCACGGCCCACCTATGGCCATCGTCTCGTTTTTGCCCCGCAAGCCTACTAAGAAATTTATAAGGCGTGTAGGGTGAACGTAATCGCGATCGGGATCCCGGTCCTCGGAAACGCCACAACACCTTTTGTATATCTCTTCCATGGCGGGCATGGATATGAGCATGACCTAAAAATAATTAAGAGACATTCAGTGCGTGAAATGTGTGATTTCGGCATGCGATATTGTGTCTGCGATATTCCGATATCTCTATCGCGCTACGCATGTATACCGGGCGCGCCTCATTACGAAATTTTCAAATTGCCCGCAGTAACTCTCGTCAAATGACGACCGTGACACACAACTTCTTGACAGACCTTCGCAGAGAACAGATAATCAGCATCCGATGGTTCTAGTACCGCTGTATTTTCGTTACACGGATCGACGTCTTTATGCATAACATGGAAGGAGCACGGTTTATTAAGGGTAAATGGCATATGCGGCGGAAAGGCATCCACCCATCTGAAGTTAGTGGAAAAGAAGTCGCTAGGAATGTACATATTTTGATAGCGTCTTCTTATCTCAAGAACGTCTGCTTCAGGCCTGTGATAATATAAGTAGCAATAAAACTCCGCCAGCGTGGTGTGCACACGTTTTCGTAGGATTGATAAAATTGCACTTACAGGTCGAGTGCGATTTTCGGTATTTGCACCATGTAACGCGGCACGACCCGCGTACGCCGGCGTGGTCTCGGTGATTTGCTCCTTCTGGTCCGCGACGGGCTGCGGTCCTCCTTCTTCTCGCGCTCCCTTATTCTCTCCTCGCGACGTCTCTTCCTCTCTATCTCCTCGTCGTCATTTCGCCGCTCACGGGGAGATCTCTCCCTTACTCTACTGACTTTGTTACGGTTGCTGGTGGTGTTGGAATTTGTCGTACTTGTTGTGAATCTACTGCAATACACAAGAGTTCCATCGATAAAATCGCGCATATCCGAAATGCTAAAATGAAACGCGGATATTGATTCAAACTCAATACTTAAATAATGTTTTCAAATCTTCGAATATCTACTGAGAGAATAAATAGCTGGCAAATTTGAATTATTTGATATTAATATTTGTATGAAAGTGGTTCGAATATTTAATATGTCGATATCCAGATTCAAACAGCATTAATTTACATGGACAGAAACGTGGATAACATATTAGTATAGAGTAGTGTATAAAAACGACGTAAGAAAGTTAGGTTAGGTTATGTATAGAAAGATATAGGAAAAAACACAGGGAAAGTATGTAAAGTATGTGAGCGTAAAGTAAAGTACAAGAAAGAATAACTGGAGCGTACTGAAAGTATAGAACGCGATAGGAATGTGACAGATGTGCGTCAAAATAAATGTGATAATAAACATGATAAATAAATGTATGATACAGGTTAAGATATAAACATAAATAAAACCATTGTAAAAATAGAAGAGATGTATGTATGTGAGTAAAAGGTAAGGCTGTAGTTACAGTTGTAAAGTTAAAAAGATATAAATTTAAAGATACGAGAGTTAGATCAGGTTTAGAAAAATTTGTTTCGAAAAATGTACAGTCACGAAACAAGAGGTACGGATGGATGAATGTGGATTAAGGAGCCGTTTGCAAACCAAGTCCCCTCTTGGCGAAAGAATGCTGAAGTAAATAATTTTACTTAGGAAAACGACAATAATATAATTAATCAACAATTATTTTCACCTGTTATTAGGATTTTCCGCGGGGGGAGGTACGGCGTTGTAATTGCCTGATGTCCTATTCGGCTGTTGCTGCTGCTGCTGCTGCTGGCGGTTCGGCTGATTAGTTTGCTGGGTGTTTGCATTGTTGCTATTGTTACCCATCGGCAACACTTGTATTCTAGTGGCATTCCATTTGAACGGCATTGAAGGATTGTACGAGGCCTCTACCAGCACGCGATCTCCTACTATGGGATTAGATCCCTTCACGCAAGCACTGAAAAAGACAGGAGGAAAAGAGAGAGAAAGAGAGAGAGAGACTCGTTAGAAATATGCGGAGATGTAAAAAGCATAAGAAACATGTATTTTCTTTTATCCAGAGCTTAAACGTACTCACCTAGTTTGAAAAAATACATCTTCATCTACAAAGCCGAAGTTATCGTGCACTTTAGTAACGGTGCCCGTGAACACCCTCTGTTTCGTCGACGACGAAGGTACGTTTTGTTGCACCTGTTGCGGAACGCCAGCTACGTTGGGTTGAAAAGCGTTTGTGTTCAACGCACGCGGCGTCGGATAAGAAACCGTGGCGACTTGCGGATACAACTGTCCCGCTATTCCCGACGGCAGATTGGAGCCAAGGGTCGCCATGGACGCCATGGTGATGTTGGGCTACGCAGAATCATTTCAAGTCAGGTCCAAAATTCAGCTCGCGAGCTTCTCCTCCTCCTCCTCTCGTCTACGCGAGCGAGACAGCGAGAGAGGACAAGCAAGGAAAAAAAAAGAACAGAGCGGTAGAGCTCCAGATATTCTACCTGCTGCAGTCCCAGACTCTGCTGATAAACTTGTTGGGTTTGCTGCTGATACTGCACCATAGGCTGCCCTCCGATACCGCCCATGGCTTGCCCCAGCATCTGCTGCTGGATATTCTGTATACCTTGTCCTTTCATGGAAAAAAACATTATCAAAAATCATTATTATGATCTAAACTTTTGTACGATGACGTTTAAATTTACATATTTCTGCATTCTTTATCATATTCCCCACCACGCGACTAACGCGCTACGGGGAGGAGCGACGAATACTTCCGACGACGTTCCGAAATATTGCTCCGCTTTGCGACGACGGTATGTATGGACGTTGCCCCGGAGAGATCATCGAGTAAAACTGATTTTGCACGAGGCTTCGCGGAAGGTAATCGGGGGAGCATCGCGCGAGAGGGTAAACAAGAGAAAAAGACAAGCCGTTCCTGCGGAGCACCGTTTCACCGGCGGCGAGCTAAGTTAAGAGGTCATCGCATGATCGGGGGGGGGGGGAGGGCGAGTCTCGCGTGCTCCGGTCGCTCTGGGACGGAACCTGTCCTCGCGGCCGAGGGCAGAGCCGAGCGTCGGGCTTGCGTAACGGGCCGCGACCGACCTTCGTCGCGCGGTCGAACATCGTGCGCTCGGCCGCCGCGGTAAACAAAAGAAAAAGAAAAGCATTCTGGCAGCGTCACGTTGCACAAGCGACGAGGGTGAGACACACACGCGCGCGCACGAGGGGGATCCGCTCCGGTCCGCTCGTCGTCACCAGTTTCGCTCCGTTTCGGGGGAGGAGGGGGCGAAAAAACGCGCGTCGGGCCTTGCTCACCTGCATTGCGGACCCACGGTGGGTTCTTGCCGCCGCCGAACGGCGACAGATTGCTCATTCTGCGTGTACGGACGGGCCGACCACGTTCGGGTCCGGCTGTGTGCGGATGTGTGCGAAACGCGACGGCGGATCTGGCGGCTCACTCACGCAACGCACGGCGTCCTTCATTCGGGCGCCATGTTTTCGGGACGTACTACTGCGCGCGACTACGCGAGTCGTTGCGGCGTCTCTCGCGCGACAGTCGCGACCGTGTCGGTCTCGAGCGGCGCGGCGCGGCCGAGACCGGAAGTGCTCGGTCGCCCGCTTCCGGTCGTCGCCTGATCGTGGAGAACAACGCGCGTATCGGAAACGAGATAGAGCAACACGAGCGGGCTCTTCGCCGAGGAGAGAATATTCGTGTGCGATTGTCGCGTAAAACGGAATGTCCTGCTGTCGAATATAATATTTCTCGTCGGATGTTTCGTTTACATCGAAGCACCGTAGTTTTATTGAGCTATTTGGAATCGCTGGTAAACAAGCAGAAATAAGTGTCGCGTTTTTATATCTATTCATGCAACGATATTGAATTTCGGTAATCGCATATTTTCTGGATCGATGGCCAATTATGGTCGCTAAACTGACTCGCGTCGTGCGAAGGGCGAAGTTACCGCCGAATTTTTCAGTCGCTTTAACGAAGCTTCGGGACGCGGACGAGCGAGGCGAAACTCAATTCCAAGCGCGGCGGCGTCGCGACGCGTTTGATTACTGAGGATAGGCAATTAAAGAGATCGGGACGAGAATCAAGATTCGAGTTCGCATCGCGCGATTCACGCGTTACATCTCGCGTAAGTGTGGAGATCGAGCAAATTATTAAGATGCGTGCACATCAAAGTATACAGCAGCATCGTCGCGTCCGATGAGTCGTGAAGTTGGCGACTGCATCTTTCGAATTGCCTCCGTTATTCGTGCGCCAACTTGAGAGAAGTCGCGCGGTCGAGCGGATCGTAGCAATTCGTCTGGCCGATTGCAACTTTTAATCGCGTCGATCCTCCGCCGCGAATAAATGCCCGTGGCGCGCGATCAACGTCGTGACGGCCGTATAGAGTGTCGCGCGACCATTGTATTTTCGCGAGCGCTTTCGCGAATGTCGCGTCAATATATATGCGTCGAGTTCCGCGGACGAACGGCCTTGTTGTCGATGGAGGAGAGAGAGAGAGAGAAGCGCGGGGTGGCGTCGCGCGTCGGGCGAAGCGAGTGCAAGGTGAATAATATATATTATCTATTTATCATTCGTTATTTCATAATTATGGCTTTTTGCGAACTTAATTGTTTCCGCTCGTTAAAGGATCGAATAAAAAGTATGAATCGAGAGAAATCGAAATTGAAAATAATAAATGATTGTATAGAAGGAAAATACAAGATAAAAAAATTAAGAGTATATATAAAATATATATTGTATATATGAAATATATATATAATATACAATATATATAAAAAATATATATTGTATATATGAAATATAATTTCGAAATATGAAAAATATATTTCGCGTTACTTTTTTTTGCCCAATCGCATAGAAATGGATGAATTGATTATTGTCGTAATTAGTATTTTCGTAATTAGTTGCATCGATTGCACTTTTCACAGTATCTAAATATTAATAAATATCTGAAATAATGTCATTTTTTGCTGTAGCAGCACTGCGGGCTATCAAAAGTCGTAATTATTATTTGCAAAACATTGTTTAATATTATTTATTTTATAGATGTTTTATTATTATTAATACTAATTGATAAATAAAAAAGTCAATTTTTTTGCAGATTTAAAGGATAATCACTTATTACTAAAAATAATCTTGCGATATTGATATATTCTGATTAAAACTTTCGCAATGCTCAGACAAAACGAATTTTCAAAAATCCCCGCATTAAAAATGTGTTTTGCATACGTAAAAATATTAATATTAAATAATTTTACACACATGTAAATCAACTTATTGTTAGCCAGTAATAATGTATCGAATGTATTAATAATTTATGTATCAAGCTATCTTGTATATTTTCATATATTTTATTTGTCTCAAAGATAATCTTTGTTATGAAATTCATTTGAAATTCATAAAAATTTTTCACGTACATAAGAAGTTTAGAACGCAAAGATTTTCGTTTACATTAATTAAAACATTAATTTATTATACAAATTATATCACGTTAATTGTATATATGTATACGTATCGTCCTTTTTTTAAAAAAAAAAAAAGAACTCGTATGTAGCAAATTTACTTTTAAATTGGGCAAATTTCGCATTGTGTGCCTGCCGCATTAACTCCTTCGCAGTATTCGAGTACACCGAGTATCTTTCGTTTCAATCTTTTTATTTTTATTATTCTCTCGTAATTCTCCCCAATTATGTACAAAAATATAATGAGAATCATTACAGAGCTCGTAACGTTTAGGTACATGACGCGATACGCTCTCTCATTGTCGCAGTTTTTTTTTTCTCGTACTTTTGGTTAGATCTCGGCGAGTGCGCCTTAAAAACATGAGATACAGTGAAACGTGGTTTAACACACCATACGCAGATCGCTCGTTTTTTCTATGTACACGTGAAAGTATCGCTTTTATTATCCAGCTCTACATGCCTTAAGATTCTATATGGATCTTTGCGTTTTACATAGAATAACTTAACGTTGAAGAACAAGCAATATATAAAGAATTATTTCAGAAAAACAAACCGATTCAAACATGTAAGTTTTAACTTCAAAAATTAAAAGTCTAAATTTGAAAAAAAAAAAACGTAAAATATACGGCTGTTTTATTCCATACAAACTTCCGGAATTTGTTTCGTATGAACGTTGCTGCACATACAAGAAGAACAAGACATTAATATTAGTAATTATCCCGTCGCAAGTAATGATAGTCATTTCCTTCATAAATAACTGGATTTACAAGAGATTAAGGCTACACTGCGAAATCACCGCAGACAGCTATCGTCTTGTTAAGCTGGTTTTCTCGTTAGAAAAATATTGTGCGGTCAATGCGTGATAAAAAAAAAGTCCTTGCTCGCTTACTTAAGTTATTAAAGTACAGTCGAAGTACAAAATGCAATGGCAATGATATTCTAGAGAAAGTATTGCGTCCGTCAGGGGGGAAAAAAAATTGAAAGATTTTCTTGGGTTTTATAATCGGTCATTTGGTGAGAAACGCAAGTTTCAAACGCTTTGCGCAATCCTTTGGCTATTCAGCTCTGCAGTGCGTTTCGTTAAAGTAGTTTTTTTTTCTAGTAAATCGAGTTATTCGTATCCTTTGCCTGCTCTACATACAACCGAGGGATTTTGTAATCCATTATTTCTTGACTCGAGACAAGAATAGACAAACAAAAAAAAAAGAAAAATTTCGGCACTTTATTAAAGAACCACCTTAAGCAACAGGATCTCCCTCTGATCTGACCTAGACTCCAGTCCTAGTACGATTTATTTTTTCCGCTAAAAATAATTATCTTACGAAGACACCCATAAAAAAAAAATTATAACTTACGCCGCGTCGTCTAACTTTTTTTTTCTCTTCTTAAACGTATTTAATTAGTACTGTTATACCGCAATACCGCAATATCACAACTTAAACAAGACTAAGGTAAACATAACACAGTACGTCTAACTATCATCTAGACGTCTAACTACTTAGGAAGTAACTTTACTTCTTTTTATCGCATCTCTTATTGTGCGTAAGATAAAAAAAGTTGCATAAAGCTCTATCTTCAAACGCTCGAGAGAACTCGCTAAGTATTTCAGCGTTATATGCCCCTCTTAGTTTAGGTTTCCGCTTTTTTTTTTCTCTATAATTCAAGCCTCTTAACGAAATTTCGCGCACGCTCTTATTCTTATTACGGCAGTTCTTCAAGATTATGCGTATGCGTTGTCATTCGTATTTCGTTAATAAATGGGAGACACGATAATGTTCCTCTATTACGCTTACGCTGAACCAGCGGGAGTGACAAGGCAAAAAGCTTCGACAAACGAACGGCGGAACGAATTGAACTGACGACGCGAAGGTCGGCGATGTCAATTCCGAAAATGCATTGCGATGTAGTGATTCGGAAACACAAGAGAACGCACGTTTGCGTTAGACAAATTAATTCTATGCGTATAAGTCTATGGAAATATACATGGTTTTCGCCGTCTAACATTTTTATGATTCACATCTGTGGGCTTATGCGTAAGTTACGTTCTACATGCGCTTCTGAGTTTCAATTGAAAGTTCACCGCGTTCGGATGAAGCAAGGAGACGTTTTTCACAAGTACGAAATATCCTCGTTGTACGCATAAATAAGAGAAAAGGATTCGCGAACGCTCTTCGGCGACGATATTTGTGTGTCCGATATTGTTTCTCGCGCGAACTGATCGTCACCAAAAAAATTGTATGTATACTTTCATATGAGGAAGCTCATTATGACGAACACGATGTTACGACTATTACGTTTAATTATTTTCTCACTCTCTCTTTCGTTCGCTAAAGCTATATATAGCTTAATCCGCCTGTAAAAATAGCCGAGGTTTGAATTTATTACAGTCCAGAGAAACGTTTTTCATCATGAGATTTTTATTTTATATGTCTGGGTCACCATAAATAATATATTCATAAAAATAGGAAGTGTGTACAAATATATTAATCTTATAGTGCGACTATTACGATCTCTAAAACATTTTCCCTTCCCCTCGAAATATAGTTATTTTATTCGCGTGTGTATGTGTATGTATACATAACTTGAGACACATTCGCACTCGTTCGACTCTCCTTCGCGACCGCGTGATCAAAAACTTGCGTGTGTAAGAGAGGCTCGTTAACTCACAGTGCTCGGCTCCCTTTCTTCAAAGCTTGATTCTACCGCTACATAGGGGCTTCGTGATTCTCGCGATCGTGCCGTGTGTATACCTTTTTCCGATCGATTAAAGCGCTCGTGCACGATAATAACAGGCCGCAGTGCGGCTTACATTGCCGTTCGTATTTGAAGACAAAGCGATCAAAGCGACGAACAAATTCTTTTCGGCAGCTTACTATAGACATCACCGTACCGTTTGGTAGTAGAATCAAGCCACGCGGTGAATTAAATATGTGGGAAATCGTGTGGGTATAGCCGATGAGATTGGCATGTACTGCTAATGATTCGTAAAGTTTCCGTAAAGCTAAACGGAACGACGGGTGATAAGAAGTAAAAATTTTCAATGTAAATAAGCGGTAAAATGTGTAGAAATTGTCAACATTGAAATTATCGCTATATTTTCGGCAATATAGAATAAAATACAAATCAAATACATTTTATAAATAGAATAAATCTAAAGACCAAAATAAAAAGATTTAGGGGCAAACAGGGCAAATTTAGATAAGATCGTAAATCGTCATGTTTGAAAAACTGATTAAATAATAATAATAATGTAATAAATTAGGCCACACTAATTGATTAAATAATGGCAATTATTCAAGATAGATATGGTAAGTTATATATTTATCTTGAGAAAAACTCGATATCGATAACGAGTCATTAAAAAAAAAAAAAAAGAAACATACGAGAAATTTATAATTAATAATTCTTACTGGCGATCATTTTTACGAATCATTAGCTTATAACTGCCAATATAATTACATAGCCAACTCTGCCGTATGATATTTTGGGCGAATTGATGCTGTACGCTAATTTTTAAGAACACTGGAGTTTTGAACACAGTCGGAGCTAGAAAGAGACAGAGTCGGTGATGATGGTACGAGGAGGAGGGAAAGGATTTAGTTCCAGCAGTGTGCCTCAGTGGGAGATGCCTTGAAAAATTACGTACGACTAAGAAACATCCACACTCGTAATTCGATACGTACACAATCAGTACAAAAAAAAAAAGAAAGAAAATTACACGCACAGCGAACACGCCGCTCTTGCCAAGTATAGATATCGTTATCGACGATGAATCATATTCCTCGTCGCGTATGTGTGCGTTTTAACGTTACCCAGCTTGTTCTCACATTCACGCGTCTGTCTCGTCGAATGTGATCTCTCTGTTCTAATTATAGCTTTGCCAAACTAGTCGCAATTTTAGAGATTTAATAAATCGCAGCACAGTTTCCATAACACCAAAAAAAAAAAAAACCGGAAACGACCACAAGTGCAGTCCTTTCGTTTTTTTCCCCCTAATGTTCTTATCTTACTATTAACAATTTCCGATAATATTATCGATGTTTCATTTTCATATGGCAGATGTTACGAATCTAATTTAGAGATCACGTTATATCTCTCACAAAGACTCGAAAATGAAGATTTCACATTTTTTTTTTTCTAGCGATCAGTTGTACCGCGTTATTTTTCTTCTTCTTTCTCTTTCTATTTATTTTTAACGTCGAACATCGTAACAGCCCTGTCGTCGATGATACTATGTTAGTGAACACAACTACTGCTCTGCTAACAACGCAGAATATTTAACGAGACGTCTCGCTTTTAAAACACGCCAGTTCTTTCGTCCGAGAATCCATGTTCTTCTTCTTACACAAGTTTGCGTGTGTAACTTGGCTCTTTTGCATTCTCACGCTTAAGTTTGTGGACATGTTGCGAAATAATTTTTTTCACGATTCAGACGAACGGTAGTAGGTACGATAAGACGAGCGGCTGACCAGCGCACACCGAAAGAGATACTCGCGCGCCTCCCCGGGTGTCCTAAGCGAGCTTCTTCTCCGTGACGTTATTGTTGGCGACGTAGCCGTTGTTCGTGCCGTTGCTGTAACAGCTGTTGTATTCCTTGTTGTAGATGGTGGCGTACGAGGACACGCCGTTGTGCGTCGCGCTGTCGTTGTCGTCCAGAATCGGCATGCAGGCGCCACCGGAAGTGCCGTTTTGCATGTTCTTCGACTTCTTCTCCTTCATGCTGCCCGTGTACTTCGTCTTGTAGAAGTCCGAGAACAGCGCGAAGAATAGGACACCGTGCAGGGCGATCCAGACCATAAAGCCGCGCGGATAGTTGCACTCGGTGAAGAGCAATTGGAACTGATGGCACATGATCAGCACGAATTGTACCTGAAAGCAGAAGGATAAACTGTCGGGTAAGTAACAATGAAAGCGACGAATATAAAACCTCTGTGTGTGCGTACAAAATTTGCGCCGAATCGCTGTGGCTTCAATGTGTAAATATATCGAAATATATCGATGTACTATAAAGGCTAGAGAAACCAGCGGTAATACCGACAGATGGATGGGATTACAAGAGTGAATGGGGATTTCAAATTGAGAACTCGGTCAGCGATTCATTTTAATCCGCTTTGTCAATTCCATTTATTTAATTATATTAATTGGACAATGGAAACGGTCATTTTTACGATTAAGAGTTTTACATCTGCAAGTATGAATTTTTAACTGTATCCTAAATCGTCCCCCTCCCCCGTCTCTCATATCCATTATTGTGTTCCAAGAGTAATATAAATTAAGTATTGCACTATTTATCTCTTAAATGCGGAAACGTTTTATAAGAAATAGTGTAAAATAATTGTCAAACAAAATATCGAACACGGATTTGCTATTGCAAAGGATATCTGCACGTAAAGTCGAGTATAGCTACAATCGCCACTTTTAATGAGTGCAATTTCTGTAATAGCTGCAATTGTCGCTACTAAATTCGTAACAACGCGGCGGTAACGTCGAACTCACCATTTGAAAGGTAGTCAGATACCTCTTCCACCAGAGGTACTTCTGAAACTGCGGTCCCATAGCGGCTAACATGTAATAGAAGTACATCACGATGTGTACCAAGGTGTTTAGAAGGGCGAAAAACGTGCTGTGGCCGCCCGGTGCAAATTTCACCCCCATCCACACGGAGAAGGGCATTATCCCGTGATGAATTACGTGAAGCGTTGAGACGTGTTGGTTCTTCTTTCTCAGAATGAAGAACAGCTAGAAGAATCATGTAAATTTTTCAATCAATCTCTTCATCTTTCTCGATATTTCAGTAATTTTGCTTGAATGAAGCATTTTCCACAACAAGCTATTTCGTCAATTCTCCAATAATAGTAATAAATGACATCAAAAATTCAAGAAATTCTATGTCCTTATAAAATATTTATATAGATGTAAAATACTGATAAATAACGAGAATAGAAAAAAGAAATAGAACGAACCGCAAACGGGAGGAGTTTCAATATATCTTTAAAAACACAAACTTTAAATAAACCAATAGATATAAAGAAGAGTCGGCTATTTTTCTACAAGTTATCAAAAAAGTTTTAAAGACAAGTACTTCAGATCTCCAAGATACTTGTCGATTTTATAAAGTTACAAATGAATTTATCAAACGGAATTTTTCGTGTTTTTACAAGTTACTGAAAGAGTTTTAGGGACAAGTATTTCAGATCTCGAAGATACTTGTAGATTCCATGCTGAAGATACAAATGAATTTATCGAACGGAATTTTTCGTGCTCCAATCTTACACTCTAATCGATGAGTCAAGCGAAAACTGATACTCACCGTATCGAAGAACTCGGTAAATTTGCTAAAATAGTACCACCAGCATGTTTCTGCCATTCTGATGGCCATCTCGCTGTACGAATAATCCACCGGTTGGCATCGGAAGCTGTAACCTTGCGCCCAACCGCTCTTAAGATACTGAAACAATAATATTCGAGCCATTTGATTACGCCGCTTGACCCACCTTATCAAAATTGAGTAACGATGATCGAGTCTTTTTTCCATGTGCGAGTTCTTGACATGATCATTAATGTATTATGCGAGAGGATATCCTGGAAAATTATCAATTAACAATCGCACTTAAAATAATTAAAATCGTCCTTCACTATGCTAGCAAATTATGCGATAAAAAAAAACATAATGAAGGCACAACCAAGTTTGATTTTTCAAACTATTTTAACTATTTTTAACTTTTATACATGATTTATGTGATTTTACGCTTTTTTAAAATAGGACACGAAATTTACATATGGTATAAAAAATACTTAAAAATTTATGTGATATTAAGTTTTTGTATGCCATATTTTAAAATTATGAAATGCAAATCAAGTGAGTTGAAAAAAAGTTTTTTAGATGATTAATTGGTCTCCAAATTATGCGTTAGATTTCAACGATTTCGCAAAATCGTGTTTAAGAACGTGCAAAAGACTGAAATGCGAACGAGTGCATGTTTACATTTCCGCTAGGCGAACGTATGTAATTTTTGAGTTAACAACCTGTTCTCAACTGAATTTCATTGAATTTAAGAATGGATTCGCGTGGTTGAAAGGCGTTGGGCATTTACGAGGTCGTCGCGAGCGTGGAATTAATTCGCTAAATGGCTCTAATTATACTCAGGAGTTGCAATACCGTTATAATCTGTTATAACGCGTCGAAAAGACGATTATTATGTTTGCGGAGTTAAATTATCTTACACTCCCTACTTCTCCCATTTATAACGATTAGTCGCATCATTCATTACATAACTGCCGAATCACAATCTATTTTTAACCAAGAGATTTAAATGCGGAAATATTGGAAAAATTAAATAATCGAAAAATATGTATAAACACTCAAAGTAAAAAAAAAAAATAATTGCAACATGGATGTCAAGATCCTCGTACGTACTTTTTTATGCTCCACTTATACATATATATTTTTTTATCTGTCAGCAATACAAAATTGATAATATTTACGGTGTTTCAAGTAGACATCGATTGTTATCAAGGATTGGCAGTTTGTTTGAAAATTGCAAATAAATTGTTGGTTTGTTAGTCGTGATTACGTTATTCGTCTATTATATCGCGTCTTCACTCGGCACACTTTCCACCCGAGCGAATGGATTTTCAATACTTTTTTTTTTATAATAAATTTTTCACACGTATTTTTGATCTAACGCGATAACACGTATCTAAGCGGAGTGTCACGTCATGCTCTTGGACTTATCGAGTTTGCGCTGAATGGAAATGATAAACCGAGAGAGAGATTGTGGTGTAGTAAAAGAGTTGACGATTGCCAGTATATCGTAAATAAAAAATGTTTGAACGTAAAATGATTACCATTGAATACAATTGCGTAATAAAAATTTATATATAGATGTGTCAACAGTAATATTATATTACTACATAAATAATACGGACGTTTCTTAACACTGCATTAATTAAAATTCAACATTACATAAATATATGAACATATTTTTGTGCCATTTATAAAAAAATAATGGACAGTGATTGAATCTTTTTGTTCTTTATTGGTTTCTTTTTTTCCATAATTTACTGGCAGAGCTGGAAAGTTCAATTTATATTTATTGCCTTACAGGACATTCTCTCGTAGCTTATGACACATGTATAATGATTATGTCAAGTTATACTTATCGTTAAGCGATGAGAATTATGGCATTATTAAACGCAATTTTATGCCACGCAAAATATCTGTTGTTCATGAAGCTATGAATTTTTCTTATCAAGATACAACTTGACATTTTGTTCATCGATTGTTGCACATTGCTGTATACAAATTGACATTGAAAGATTAATTGGTTGCCGTTAATCGAAAGACTACGCAAAAAAAATTTCGCAACGTCGACGATGTTATGAGCGATTATCCGTATTCGCAGCGTCAAAATTAGTTTATCGCGCAGGCAGTTCAATTATTCATCCGATTTATAGCGATAAAAAACCCGCTAATATGTAAAATTATGCGTGCGTCAAACATCCTCTCTGTCCATATCTAATATAGGTCACGTATTAATGTATAATTGAAATAGGTTAAATGTTCATGTTAATTGCATCGAACGCTTAAGGGGTTAGAGGCTACCTTTGAGGCTTTAAAAGATACCTAAGTTTAGGATCTTTTTGTGAGTAAATAGATAACTTTATTAAAAATCTATTTAGAGGACATTATTGTATATATGTAAGAAGCAAAAAAAGATTTTATTTTTTTAATGTCCAAAATGGCGGCGCACTGGCCCACTTGCGGAATCCTTTTTTTCTGTATTTTCAAATCGGTGTATAAGATTCCAGGCACACGGTTTGACCTTGAACAAAATACAAAGAATTTTCATTATCTACATATTAAGGACTAATAAAGTACGTAGGGGTTTTTTAAAATATGTTTTTCAATATATTGATTTTTCTCAAAATGGCAGCTTTTTTTTACGAAAAATGTATATTTTTCGCCAGTACAAGTTTTTTTAAAAAATAGCTGCCATTTTGAGAAAAATCAATACTATGAAAAATCCCTACGTACTTCATTAGTCTTTAATATGTAGATAATGAAAATTTTTTGTGTTTTGTTCAAGATTAAACCGTGTACCTGGAATCCTGTACACCGATAGAAAAAAAAGGGATTTTTCAAGTGTAGGCCAGTGCGCCGCTATTTTAAACATAAGACAAATAAAAAAATATTTTTTTAGTTTCTTATATATGTTTTATACAATAATGTTCTCTAAACAGATTTTAAATAAAGTTATCCATTTATCCACAAAAAATCCCAAACTTTACGTATCGTTCTAAAACCTCAAAGGTGGCGTAACCCCTTAATTGTGATAAAACGAGGCTCATGCTGCTAATCGAGAGATTTTTTTTTGTATATTAAACATTACTTTCCGAAGTAATTAAAGAAGTTGCTTATACATGCAAAAAAGTGTCCCAGGAAAAATAAAAAATTAACTGTAATTAGATTCCACGTATAATTTGCAGTAAATAAGCCGTCAGTAAATAGACCGTATTGTATACAAAAGGCTTTAATTAATGTCGGGTTAATGTCATAAACACTGTGCGTGATATGTGCTTAGACGTTTCATTTTAAATTCAATGAAACTTTATACTTAGGCCGACACGAAGGACTAATATCACTTCGATTGAACTACGAACGTCGTGAATAAATTAGAGAATCCGTTAGCATAATCGACTGGTCGTATCGAGACGACCGGGGGGGTCGGAAAAGTCGACTTGATGGTAACATTCGTTCGAATGGAAAATACCTAAAAAAAAACAATAGAACAATCAATTTTAAAATGCATGAAGAAACTGCGTTTTATACAATCATTTGCAACATCGGTTAAAAAATACTGTATCACATTCTATAAATTATGTCGTAACTATAATAATGCTATAACTCAAACGTTTGATTTTAAATTAACTCTAGAATGGCTTCGCAATGAAAAAAATTGCGAAAATTCAAAAATATTTCAACAAATTAGAATTAGATATTGTAGAAGATTGCGAGAGTTTAAAAGCAGTTTGTAAATTATATAGAAGATCCAATTTGACGGAAAGTTCAAGATATAAAATAAAAAATATTAATAGATATATATTGCAAAATATATTAATTTATATATATATATATACACAAGAAAATTGATAAAAAATTTATAATTTATAAAAAGATCAAAAGAAAAAAATTAATGCTTCTTTCGCATTTCGTGAGAATTTCTAAAAAATATTAAATATAAAACTTCCAGCATTTGAGTACTCTCTACTAATATTTTTTAAAAAGTAAAAAAAGTATACATTTAAAAAAATAATTTAAAATAATATTGAAAGTAATATTGTACAAAATTTTTTTTCTTTTTTTTAAATTTATGTGGAAGTGAACTGCATTTGCTGTTTTGTAATCATCACGTAATGCGCGTTTCGTGACATATCTCTTCTTAATATCTACTAAAACAAAAATCAAAGACAAGTACTGTTGACATGACACATTGACACGTGTTTCGTGACATATCTCTTCTTAATATCTACTAAAACAAAAATCAAAGACAAGTACTGTTTTAATTATTGCCGTGACCTATCTCTTTTCAAATGTGATAAGATTTTGATCGTTTCCGCGTAGCATCGATTACGTGTTCGCAAGCGTGTAACTGTACTCCGATATGTGTACACAATATTGACTAGAGGACCCAGATTACGATTAGTATCTCTTTAAATATGCACGCGGATCAATCAAGTCCGGCTGTGAAAGACACATACATACATTCTCATATTTTATATACGTATATAACGGGAAACAAATACAAATAACTAATTTATCATAATAGTAAATATAACAAAACATTGCAAAAATATAACTTCTTTTCATTGACGTAAATTCTAATTTTTCAACCAAATTAAATTTTTTTATGTCGTATTAAAAACTATTATTTTTATCTTCAAATTATTCGCGATTATAGATCGCAGTATTTAATACTATTAAAAATTCATTCGAAGTAGAATATGATACTGGAAATCTAGATATTGACCCGGTTGCAGGAAATATGCCACGATCAAATTATAATATTAATAAATATGTATATTTCTATTAAAATGTGCATAATGCATATCGATTAACACGTGATATAACAATAGATATTCGATCGGGCAATTGTAATTTTTGTTTGTATTCACATATATTAGCAATCGATATCGCGAATTGACGTATTTCTTTCTAACTAGAATTCCATTATAATCAATAATAAATTGAACTAGATCTTGTAGAAAAATACCACAAATAAAATTTGAGAGCGCCTTCTACTTTCTTCCTAGTATTTTAAAATGCTTATTCGCATTTATCGTATTATTAAAAAAAATTGAAGATTAATCTAATTGTGACCTCACTATTTCAGCTTCAACCTGTGATTTGCGTTGCAAATCCGACATTAAATCGGCGTTTAAATGACTGAATAATTTGGATTTAAAATTCATATAGAAATATTAGACACCAAGATCGAGCCTCGATCGAAGAAGGCGCTCTCAAATTATATTTGTGAATTCTATTAGCTTGTTAGTTCAATGTTACTATATTCAATAAAGACAACAATAAAGAATCGCGATCAAGATACGTGTTTATGAAATAGTCTCATGGTAGTCGTTTAGATCAAAATATGTCACTTCGTGCACGCTACTCTATAATCTAGATATTCTAGATATTCGTAAATACAAGCAAATTAAGAATTGGAAAAAGTTAAAAATTAATAAAGTAAAAAATTTCTTAATGTTTCGGAAGAGTAAATTTATCTCGGTATTTCATCTCGAAGTGCCTCTGACACAATTATCATAAATGGACTCGGCGAGGTATCTTCTCGGTAGGATCGTTTTAACTCTCGGGAGAGATCGCGATTTCCCTTGAAATAATCCCGCGGAACCGCATGCTATTGCCTGTCCGAGCCAACGGCAGTTATTGACCATGTCGAAACAAAAGGCGGAGGAGAAATAATTGAAGGCAATTCCCCGTCGATCGCCGCGCGGGAAGACAATCGCGGTCAAATCGCCGTGATTACGAATTTATAAAAGGAGTAATCTTGCCGAGTCCCCCGTTCGACGCGAACGACCGTGGGTCGTGAATTTTGACGGAAGTTGTTACGCCGTCAATGTTTATTAACGGATAAAACGAATTATACTTGGGCGTGAACAAATCTGAGAAGATATCCGATTTCTATCTTCAATTTGATTTAAAAGATTTCGTATCTTTCGATTACCTACGGCATTTGATTTTGATTTTATCAATAGAACTGGCATATCTATACACGGAGAGAATTTTATTTTAAAATTTACCCTGAAAATCATGTTAATCGGAACAACATGGTATTTCGACGAATTTTATGTGAATTTCACTATTTTTTTTTAAATATATACTATAATTTATTGTAGTGTATAGTAAAAAAAAAACAGAAAAAAAATCACAAAATTTGTCGAAATACTATGCTGTCTCACGATTAATATGATTTTCAGAATAAATTTCAAAAGAAAATTCTCTCTGTGTATGTGTGTGGTTTCTGTTTAGGAATTTTGCTGTCACATGTTATAGTAAACCCCCCC